AACTTCTATTAGCTTTTACTTACTATTGAAATCTTGGCTACAGTATATAGAACTTTTAAGTTAAGCTAATGCAGGCAAAGCTACGCTAAGAGGAACTATAGCAAATTGAACCCAAATAATGTCGCATATGTCTGAGAATATTTCAAAACATGGGTTCCCTGTGTTAAGAGTGCAAAATGTTCGCAAAAAAACGTAAATAAATGGTCCTAGTAAAATACAAAGTCGTGAAAAGTTTATCAATTCTTTGATATCGCGTATTGTGAAGTATTTTGAAACACTTATTCTCTACCTACGCGGAAGTTAAATTGTATCGAAATTTGCATATGATTTGCATAAGCTTCCTATACTTTCGAACTGTATAAATACAAGGAAAGCAATAATATTTAGCAAATATTTGGAACGTTATGACATATATACTTTTGAAATGTTGCTATGATATAAGYTGAAGACATTTATGAGAAGTATAGTTAATGAATTGAATGCCGAGGTCCGTTTAAATAACACTGAGTTCCGCTTCATTCCTGACTCTTTGAGTTTCAAATATTTATTGATTTARTAGAATGTTCATGTACAATTTGTTRCTCAGCTAGTTTTACTTTATTGCYTAGGTGTTCATTTATATCTTARGCAYTATTATAGCTTCTTTGCAAACCAAATTASSGCAACACGGCCGATTGTATTAGATATTCGAAAGAATTTTGCAATTTCGCTCGCGATGAATTGTTGTCATTTTAACACAAAACAACAAAAGTTATCTTCAAGCAAAAAAATAGAACCTGTATTAAGTTCTTTTATAAGGTTCAATTGCATATAAGGAAGAAAATACCTCACCTTGAGAAAGAAGTGGCTGTCTCAGCTCTTCAATGTTTTCCATGTTGWCTTCGCTCGTCACGCTACYGAAGATCAACAGTGACTACAGCGTGACGAAGGATTGCCTCGAAATCCTTAACACTTCAAGTTTCTTGTGAAAAGCGAAAAACCTAATTGAATATAGCAATGAAAGACCGTTTCGATACTAAATTTGATCTTCTGATTTTTGAGAGTCATCAGCTTCGACAAACGGGGATCCCCCGACTATTATTATTAATGCCCTTTTATGGAACAAGGAAGAAATACTCTTTTCTTTCAAAACCAACCATAATATCGTATTRCAAAGAGCTTATCAAAGAATTACAGAGCTTTTGTTTTTTAAAAAGAGCAATTTTAACTGAATACGCGAAACAGGAAAATCAATTGTTTTGTTTTGGCATGTAATGACGTAATCCGATATTTATAAAGCATGACACCACAGCTAACCCAGAAAGAATTTTTCAGCCRCGATTTATAGATCATTTATTGATGGTAAAATATCAGTGCTAGTAATAATATGCTTGTGTTGACACAAGCCCA